CGGGGGGCACCAGCATCTCCATCACAAAGGAGCTGAGTCAACCACAGTCTCCTCCTTCCCTTTGAATCTTAGGAACGTGTCCCTGGCACCATATGGAATGAGATTGATGACATGCAGGTGTTTCGGATTCTAGACCTCGAGGACTTTGAAAAAATGTTTTCAGCTTATCAGAGGCATCAGGTAAGACCCTGCCCGCCCTGGTGTCTTGAGTCTTGACTTGACGCCACCCCTGAACTCGACCCTCAGCCCCTCCTTGCCTTTCTTTCTCCCTCCCACATACACTGATTGATTTTATTCTTTATCAGGTACCATGTTCTTTCTGGGACATGAATTGCAGGGAGGGGTGGTGTGCACGGGGAAACATCCCACTGTATTAGTTTGTATTTGCCCATCACAGAATGACATAATATGTTGTCCATTTCTCTCCGTGGTCTTGGAGCCCTGGAGGTGGAGTAGCAGGGTCCGACCTCGGCGGACCTTGTTCTTTTTCTGGCCCGGGACTAGGAATTATACCTACAAGGCATGATCACTTTTCCACCACTCTTTCCACCCTGCTGTCATATCCTGACACTCCCATGAGCGGAGCAGAGGATGCTAACGTGTCAGGATGTTGGCGCTGCTCCAGGTCACATTGAGGGGTTGAAGCTGGGCGGGGAAGGCCAGGAGAGGCCCTGGGCTTTGCTCTGTGCACGCTGTAAAGAGGTGGGCCAGCAAGCCTGCTCTTCCCGAGGCAGGACAGGGCATGGGGTGGATAGCAGGATGCAGGGCCAACCCGAGGTGGTGACTGCCGGGATGACCACAAATGCCGATTCTTCGATCTCAGCCTCCCGTGAGTATGAGGGCCCAGGAGTCTGCATAGCAGAGCTGGGGCCTTCCTCGGAGGTCCAGTGTGGGAAGAGGCCTTGGAGCCTCTGCTTTCGCTCCGGCCCTCTGCCCAGGGTTTGTTTATTCTCCGGGCTGTGCTGTTTTCTTCCATGTTTTCTCCACTGAGTCCAGGGTTCTAACCCTGAGAACTTACCCCAGTGCCCGTGAGAAGGCTCTGTGCCCTCCTGGGTCTGCATGTCTCGGCCGATCTCCCCACTGCTTTCTGCCAAGCCTGAAGCTGTGGGTGACCCCTCCTGAGGGCAGACAAGACCACGGGCACTGTGACAGCTCCGGGGGGACTAGCCAAAGGGCTGTGGTGGGGGTGGGGCTCTGGCCCTGCCTTAGGGTTCTAGAAAAACCCAAGCAGCGTTTGTTTAGCTTAAATGTAGGTGCTCAGGGTGTCTGATTCTGTATCCTTAATTCCAGGAAGCAGTTTTAGCCCCAAGGGCATGTCTGGCTGGCATGGCCCGAGCAGCCACTGTGGCCTGGCTGGAGCCAGAAGGGGTTCTTCAGGGCATTTGCTGCCCTTGTGATCAGTGCCCCAGAGTGGGCACCAGGGAGGGATGCAGAGGGTGTGCGGGGGGTGGCAGAGGATCAGGCCTGGCCTCCCCCCGATTTTGAGAGTCTTCCTCCAGGCAAGGGTTCCAGCCTTGCCTGCCCAGTCTCCAAGGTCCTGGGGTAGGACCAGGGTAGGGTCCAGTAAGGTAGGCAAGACTCTGGGGTGTAGGACAAGCGGGGCCTGCCCCCACCCCACCCCCAGTTTGGGGGTGGGGAAGAGTTAAGATGGACAGCGCCCTGCTCTTTCTCCCCATGTCTCTCTGAGCCCACTCAGTCTATCACCCTGTTTTAGAGTTGGGCTCACTCAGACGACTGTCAACTCTGCAGGTCACCCGGACTCTGGGGCATTGAATTCTCACAGCAGATCTGGAGAGATCCCAGAGGCTGCATTGCCTCGGTGGCCTCCTCTTTCTGTCTTGGGGTCCTGGGCACATAGGGCAGGGACCATCCTGTGCCCTCTGCCAGTCCTGAGTTGGTGACTTCAACCCCACCTGGGTCGGGAAGGGAGCACCAGCTGTGGGCTCTGCCCCCTCCGCTTCCTTGGAAATCAAGAGACAGACCCGAGGCAGAGGGCAGGGGACAAAGTTCAGGGACACCTGCTTTCCTCTGTCTCAATGAATGCAACTTCCACGTGCTTTCAGCTCAAGTTCAGCTGTGGTTGTGTCTTCTGCCCTGTTTTGGAAGAGTGAAGTCGTGCGGTGTTACTGGGATGCTCTGTGTAGGAGAGGGAAGAAGTGCAGTCAAAGCCTGCGGTGGGGCAGCTAGGGGGCCTGGTCCGACCAGGAAGTGGTGGTCTCTCCCTGGGCGCAGGGCACACAGATGAGGCTGCCTGTCCTCCGCTTGGTCTGGCTTCTCTGTGAGTGCATGTCTGCTGGAAGCAGCTCCTGTTCAGTGCCACCTACAGTCTCCATCTCCAACCATGGGGGTCTCCCTTTGGGTGGGGCAGACAGAATAAATGCTAAGGGGTCCCCATACCTTTCCTACTACTCTTGGGTCCCCAAACCTCTTGGCTAACGTTGTGCATGTTTGATTCTCTATTGGCTGTGGCTGCTACCTGCCTAGGAGCTGATAACTAATCCTTCCCAGCAGGTGAGTCACTCTTGGGGCTCTGGACACTATAACTCTTAACCACTGTCCTGGGCTGCTGCCCTGTACTGGGCTCAAAAGAGGGGGCTTGTCAATTCTACCTTCTGCCTTATTACTCATCTTAACAGTGTGGCGTCAGGTTGGGTCCCCAAAGAAAAAGCAGAAATGTAGGGAGAGGAGCTAATGCAAACAGACCCCGCCACAAGGGAGGTAAACGTCTACAGGAGTGAGGAGGAAGCTTCTAGGTCTATTGTCTTACCCACAAGGCCCAAGGCAAGGCCGTCCTGTAAGACTGCACAGGTTGGGCACTGCACAATTCCAGGGGCACAGTTCACAAAGGCAGTGATGTGAGTGGCAGCCCCTGGAGCATATGCATGGAACGACCTCCCAGTGGAGGAACCAGCCTCCTGTCTACCTCATCAGGGGCCAAGAGAAGGCAAGAGGGGGGTCTTTGAGTTCTTGGGAATTGCCTGCTGGAATCCCAGAGGAGAGAACTTTGCAGGGAATTGTGCCTCAGTTTCCCCACCTCTGAACTTGTGGATGCTCTCCCCCCTGGGCACCTTGGGTGGCACCCAAAGTCCTCAAGGGTCCAGGAACCGTGGCCCTGTGGGGACTTGGAGCCAGCTTCTCACCATAAGATTGGGGAGCCTCTCTGGGTAGGGTGGGGGGAGTGGGGGTTGATTGTCTGGGACGTGACATGGATCAAATCCCACTGCCCACAACCACAGGGATCAGTCACTCCCCGTCTAGACTGCCCAGGGAGGGCAGTGTTTGAAAAGGGGGCTTCTCATTGTCCCCAACCCCTCTAGCCCAGACTGAAGTCCCACAGCGTCCTATTTAGAGTCAGATATTAACCACCCTCCTCTCTCCCCAGTCTTTTTCTTTCCCTTTCTTTCTTCCCGCTCACACCAGGAGCATTCCCTGGTTGGCACGGGGGTGGCTTATGGGCTGGGGTGAGGGGTGGGGGGTGGGCAGGAAGAGGACTGGGGGAAACACACACCTCACCCTTTCTGCTCGGCTTGTCGGTTGCAGAAAGAGCTGGGCTCCACCGAGGACATCTACCTGGCCTCACGCAAGGTCAAAGAGCTGTCCGTCATTGACGGCCGGAGGGCACAGAACTGCATCATCCTTCTCTCCAAGTAGGTGCCCACCCTGGCTCTGCGGCCCCTGCTTAAGGTTGTGGGTGGGAGGGATGCGCCCCCAGAAAGCGGAGGCCTGGGCTGGGGCTCGAGAGGAAGATGAGGGAGCTGAGTGCCTGGGGAGAGAGGGGCGCCTGGCAGAGGGATGGGGCAGTAGTGACCTCTGGGCTCCCCCCATCTCCCAGCTATCCCCTGGGAATGGCAGGGGCCCTCTGATCCAAGCATCCTCTCCCGGGAGCCCTCATGGAGCAGCAGTGCAGGTTCTGCAGACAGGAAACTGCCCTAGTCATGAGGCCCCTGACCTGCCTGGTCAGCGTCTGGCAGTGGCGTTGCTCTAAGCCCGCAGAGGGCCCCGCTTGGCTTAGGCCACAGAGCAGCATGATGTCAGCCCCCAAGCATTTCCCGCAGCTGCAGAACAAACAGGGCAGTATCTGGGCTAACAGCCTAGCTTCTGTGCGGGGGCCTCCCGCCTGAGCTGGGGTCGGAGGGCACCACCTCCCTTACTATTCTTAGCGCTGCCCTAGGACATCCACCCCCTCTTTCCTCCGACAGGGCCCCAGGGCTCGCTGTCTCCCCCTTGATGGCAAGGGAGACTTCTGCTTCCCCAGGGCTCCCAGTGGGTGTCCATCCGGAGGGACTGTGTGCATCCGGAGGGACTGTGTGCATGTGTGTGTGTGTGTGTGTGTGCATGCAGTGTGTGCAGGGCCTTGCTCCTCCCTCTCCCAGTGTTGGAACAGCTCTGTGGGAGCCGAGGGGCTGCTGGAAGACTGGGAGCTGTTCTGTCTTGAAGGAAACAGGAGCCTGCCCCCTTAATGGCCTGCCCATATTCCCATCCTCCCGTGGAGATGATGTGGGCATGAGAAGAAGGATCGGAACTCTCTGCCCTGTCTCAGTCTACACTGAAGATGGCCCTCTTCCTCCCAAACATCCCCATCAGTGAGGACAGAGACTCAAGCAAGAGACCAGAGTGCTCACGTCTCTGTTTAGGGATTAAAATATCTCAGGCTCGAGTTATAGAGGGAAGCATGTGAGTTTAGTGTGGAAGGTTTTACTGAGCAGGGAGTGCTATCAAAGGTAAAGGAGAGAGAGAAGGCCCCGGCTCTGGCTTCGGAAGGAGGAGGCCTGGGGTCTGACCTGGGCAGAGGGGCCAGGTCAGGCTGCTCAAGGTGGGGTTTTGCTGTAGGTTGAAGCTGTCCAACGAGGAGATCCGGCAGGCCGTCTTGAGGATGGACGAGCAGGAGGACCTCGCTAAGGACATGCTGGAGCAGGTGAGGCCCCTGATGCTCGGGGGCGGCCGTGCCCCCTCCCGACAGCCCCCGGGAGGCTGAGACTCAGGTCAAGGAGAAGTCAGGCTGGAGGAGCAAGGCAGAGGTTTATAGAAACATCCCTGGATCAACCTCTCTGAGAGGAGAACCAGAACAGACTACATCTTTTCAGGGGCTTGAGGCCCCTAGAAAGGAAACACGAGGAGTGATCCCCCCAGGAGTCTCAGAGCAAAGACAGTGACTGCAGCCACGTGCTGCTGAGGCCTTCCCTGGTAACTCAGCAGGTTAAGAATCCGCCTGTGGTGTAGGAGATACAGGAGACACGGGTTCGCATCTCTTCCTCATCAGTCTGTTGTGTCCTTCAAGAGAAACCCAGAAAATACCGAACAAAGCCACAATTAGTTGGACATTAAAATTAAGAACTCTGTTGATCAAAAGACACTATTATCAGAGTGAAATGGCAAGCCAAGCTTTAGATCTTTGCTTTATGTGTAGATCACAAAGATCTCATATTCAGAACAAAGGACTTTACAAATCAGTGAGAAAATGACAAACAACCTAAAAATGAGCAAAAGATTTGAATAGGTACGTCATGAAAGAGAATCTCCACATGGTTCAATACTATCACTCATCAGAGAAATACGGTAAAGATGTTCAATACTATTAGTCATCAGAGAAATACAATAAATCACAGTGAGGGAAAACCAACCATCCACTTAAACAGCTAAAACTGAAAAGGCCAGCAATGCCAGGTGTTGGCAAGGATGTGAAGCAACTGGAACTCTCATTTGGTAAAACCATTTAGCAGTCCACACACCTATTCTGTTTCCCAGCAATCCCACTGGGTACAAATACTGACTATAGGAATATTTATAACTATTCATAAAACCCTCAAACTGTGAAAAGACCAACTGTCCATCAATAGGAAAGTGAGTAGATTGTGATGTATTCCCATAATAGAATAGTGCTCAGCAATGAATGGACTTTCCTGAAGGCTCAGATGGTAAAGAATCTGCCAGCAATGCAGGAGTCCTGAGTTCAATCCCTGGGTCAGGAAGATCCCCTGTAGAAGGGAATGCAACCACTCCAGCATTCTTGCCTGGGAAATCCCGTGGACAGAGGAGCCTAGTGGGCTACAGTTATGGGGTCACAAAGAGTCAAACACAACTGAGCAACTAACACTTTCACTTTTCACTTTCATCAATGAATAAAAAATGAATGACTAATACCTAAAGGTGAATGAGTCTCAGACATGCTGTTAAGTGAAAGAAACCAGACCCCAGAGAGAGCACACAGCATCATTTGTTCAAGAATAAGTTCAAGAATAGCCAAATTTGGGACTTCCCTGGTGGTCTTGTGGTTAAGACTCTGCACTTCCATTGCAGGGGGACACAGGTTCAATCCCTGATCAGGAACTAAGATCCCACATGCTGTGGTGGCATGGCCAAAAAAAAATTGCTAAATTTGATCTGAGGTGATAGAATTTAGTCAAGAGGCTATACTGGAGGAAGAGGTGGCTTTGCTTATTAAAGTAGCACAAAGGAACTTGGCAGGGGATGAAAATCTTCTGTATCTTAATCTGGATGGTTCAATTAGTGGATTTGTTGTTGTTGTCCAGTCACTAAGTCGTGTCCAAATCTTTGCAACCCCATGGACTGCAACATGCCAGTCTTCCTTGCCCTTCACTATCTCCTGGAGTTTGTTCAAACTCATGTCCATTGAGTCAGTGATGCCATCCAACCATCTCATCCTCTGTTGCCCCCTTCTCCTTCTGCCTTCAATCTTTCCCGGCATCAGGATCTTTTCCAATGAATCTACTCTTCACATAGGTGGCCAAGTATTAGAGCTACAGTCCTTCCAATATTCAGGGTTGATTTCCTTTAAGATTGACTGATTTGATCTCCTTGCTGTCCATGGGACTCTCAAGGTAGTTTTTTTCAAAATTCATTGAGTCGTACATTTTAAATGGATGCATTTTATTTTATGTAAATTATACCTCAATAAATTGATGGAGAAGACTTTTTAGAGTCCCTTGGACTGCAAGGAGATTCAACCAATCCATCCTTAAGGAAATCAGTCCTGAATATTCATTGGAAGGACTGATGCTGAAGCTGAAACTCCAATACTTTGGCCACCTGATGCGAAGAACTGACTCATTTGAAAAGACCCTGATGCTGGGAAAGATTGAAGGTGGGAAGAGAAGGGGACGACAGAGGATGAGATGGTTCGATGGCATCATCGACTCAATGGACATGAGTCGATGTCCGGGAGTTGGTGATGGACAGGGAGGCCTGGTGTGCTACAGTCCATGGGGTCACAAAGAGTTGGACATGACTGAGTAACTGAACTGAACTGAAATTGATGGTAAATAATCTGTCTGCAATAAAAAGATGGTAAAGAATCTTCCTGCACTGCAGGAGACCTGGGTTCGATCCCTGCATTGGGAAGATCCCCTGGAGAAGGGAACAGCTACCCACTCCAGTATTCTTTCCTAGAGAATTCCATGGACAGAGGAGCCTGGCGGGCTACAGTCCATAAGTCCAAGAGTCAGACATGACTAAGTGACTTTCACATACCTCAATCACGTTGGTTTAAAAAGAAAAAGCTCATTGAGCTGTACACTTAAGAACACTGTATATAAGTTTACATATGTAAATTAGAGCTCACATTTAAAAAGTGAAAAAGAAAAAGAAGGAAGTGTGGAGCTGGGTGCCCTGAATCCCTTGGAGCAGGTGAAACACAAACCACCCACATGAGGATGCGTCTCTCTGACAGAGTTGGGGGCCCTCCTCATCTGAGCCTGGTCAATGTGGGGGGGTCCCACTGGCTGCACCCCTGTGCCAGCCTCTCCCCAGTTTCCTGACTTTCAACTCCCCTTTGCAGCTCCTCAAGTTCATCCCGGAGAAGAGTGACGTTGACCTCCTAGAGGAACACAAGCATGAAATCGAGCGGATGGCCCGCGCGGACCGCTTCCTCTATGAGATGAGCCGGTCAGAGCAGCGGGCGTGGCAGGAGGCAGCGGGGGTGGGCAGGCCAAAGGGGGCCGGCCTGGAGCTGGCCGGGGCGGGGGCTGCCTCACCATGCAGCTCGCCCTGTCCACAGGATCGATCACTACCAGCAGCGGCTGCAGGCTCTCTTCTTCAAGAAGAAGTTCCAGGAGCGGCTGGCTGAGGCCAAGCCCAAAGTGGAAGGTATGGCCCAGGGCTGGGGAGCAAGCCTGGGGGCGGTGGGAGCCAATGAACAGGCACAGAGGGAAACTCCTTCCTTATTCTTGATTCACCCCCCAAACCAAGGACAGGATGTGAATCTATGCTTTTTGTAGATGTGGAGCTTGTGTATATGAGCACCCATGCCAGCCACGCACCCTGTTCCCTGTGGCTCAGCATGTAGGTTCTCCGAGGCCGGGGACCTGATGACATCTGCTCTGTCATTTCTGTCAGGGACAGAAATGCTAAAAAAAATGATGATAATAGTAAGCAACTAGCACCCTTCTTGGCATGGACTAACCCATCATTACCCTGCTTGGGAGAGGTTCGAGGTGCAGAGAAGACCTCCACATATGTTATTTGAAGTGTGAGCTACTCAGAAAGTAGGGAACTTGGTTGGGTGAGGTGATCCCCAGAGGCATCTGATTTTCTGGCCTGGGGAACCCCTTCCACCTATTTCAGGTGGAAACTCTGTCATTAGACCAGAACCACAGGTCAAGCACCGTGTGAAACACGGGCCGTGGATGGTCTCATTTGGGGGCCCTTCTCTCACCTCTCAGATGGATCTGTGTCAGTGGCCCGAGGCTGTGTTACTGTTGGTCTTGGTGGAGCCGGGACTGGAATGCAGATGTCCTTCTTCAGAATCCAGCGCTTCCCTCTCGTCCTGTCCCAGAGGGCGTGTGGAACTGCCTGGAGATGCAGAGGGTGGAGGGGCAGGGAGCCGGGGGAAGGGCAGGTGCTCAGGAGGATGGGCAGCCATGAGGAGGGGGGGAGAAGCAGGGGAGGCCGTGGGCCCCTCTGTGGCAAGAACAGTCTCAGCAGACTGGAAACAGCCTGTGTCCTGGATGCTGGGGGGCAGGCTTGGGGCAGGGCAGAGCACGGGCCCCCTCTGCTGGACACCATGCCCTGGGAGGCCAGGTCCGGAGAATGGGCCTTCCTGGAGTTTGATGAGCTGCTTTGTGAGGACTCTGGGGGGTCAGATGGGGCATGACAGAGCTCGAGGTTGACATTTTCTGTAATCTGGACACACACGCACTTGTGCACACACACAACAAGGGGTCTGCAGGCTGTGTGATCACAGATAATACGTCTGAGCGGGAAGCAAAGGGTTGAGCAGTGACGCTGCAGGGCTGTGGTCTGGAGGCACCTCCTGCCCTGCTGATGGGCGAGTCCTTACTTTTGTTCTGCTGCTGACTGCCTTTGGGGCATGAGGCAGGGACAAGGGCGTTCAGCCCAAGATGTGTGCTCAACTATTTGTGTGTCTTGGGTCAGCGGAGCAATTGTGAGCAATGGCCTGCAGTTTGGTGCTGTGGAACTAGTTTAGCCACTGGGTAGATTTAATCTCAGATAATTCTGTTCCCGGGAGCTCACTCCTAAACTCTCCCTAAGAAACATTCCTGAGAAAGCTAAGATTTTGCCTCTCCTAGCTGGTTGATGAGCTGTTAACTCTCCTCCCTAGCATCCATCCATCCATCCCCAGGCAGGGCTTTTGGGTCAATTTGCCAAAAGGCAATTCATCAAATCTGTCAAATTTACCAATTCTCTTATGAATATATTCATGAACATAGTCTTCTTGTATATATTCTTCTTATAAATATGCCAAATTCACCAATTCTCATTATGAACATATTTATTGAGTATAGTCAAGATGAATATGGCTTCACATGGAAATATATTCTTATGAATATATGTATGAATACATTATTCTTATATCTAAAATGTCTGCATTGCATATGGCAGTTTTTCCATTTATACTGATTCCCTTTGAATTCTTATCATTTTCTGTTTTGTCAACATTTTAGCATTTTTAGGATTCCTCTGAAGATTTTTCAAATAGCATATCAATCTAAGAAAAACTACCACAACCAATATATGTTGCCAGAAATTTCCCAGGTGGCACTAGTGGTAAAGAACCCGCCTGCCAAGGCAGGAGACATAAGAAATGCAGGTTCGGTCCCTGGGTTGGGAAGGTCCCCTGGAGAAGGGCATAGCAACTCACTCCAGCATTCTTGCCTGGAGGCTCCTACGTGGACAGAGGAACCTGGCGGGCTACACTTCATAGGGTCGCACAGAGTCGGACACAGCTGAAGGAACTTAGCACGCATGCATGCACTTAAACTCATTGCTGAAATGTGCACTTTGAAAGTACATAAATCCTAAGAGTCCTAATTGATGAACCATCCCAAAGTGATTCACCTGTGTGATCATATGCTGGCCTCTTGTTCAGCATTATGACTGTAAGGAACAGTGGGTTATTTATTTTCAGTGCTGCATTTTATTCCATTGTATGACTATACCATAATGTACTTAACTAATCTAGATGTAATTTAAAAAAAAAAAGGCAGACTAGGAACCACTCAAATACCTTTCAAGAGTAATGCCGCTGTTAGGTGGCATATGTTTGAGTTTAGAAGCCACTGACCAACTTACTTCTCGTTTTTTTTTTAACAACTTTTTGACAGTTACTTAACTGCTTTTGAAGAGTTTTGCATACTTTTAGTCAAATGGTTTTCATTTTATCTTCATAGCAGCATCTTAAGGAATGTTCATTTTGGCAGAGGCCAAAATCATAATACAATGGCTTGGTCTTCTCATCACATTTAATAATCCAAAATCATATTATTTAACCAGTAGCCTAATTTTCAGTGTAGCTTTTGTGTCCCAATTCTGCACACCCACCATAAATACAGAATTGCTGAGGGAAGGGCCAAAATAGCCTGTCAGAACGAAATACTGAAGTTTTGGTGACGGGTTAGCCTTAGATTGTATTTCCAGCAAAGGTATCATTTAAGGCATTAGAGGGAAATTTTTAAATGTCTAAAGGTTGGAGAACATTTTTAAATGCTATTCAACAGGCTGTCACGTAACCTATTTAATCAAATCTAAGACACCATCAACTGCAAAGCATAATATGAAACTTTCAATTGATGTTTTAATTTGACAAGGATTTTTTTCCTTTCCCAAAAAATCAACAAAATACAGCACTTCAAAAGAGGCAGAAATAGTCTCATAGTATGTAACACGCTGAAATTAAAAATTTTAATCACTAGGTTTATAAAAGTAAAGGACTTCCCTGGTGGCTCAGATAGTAAAGAATTTGCCTACAATGCAAGAGACCCAGGTTACATCCCTGGTTGGGAAGTTCCCCTGGAGAAGGGAATGGCTCCCCACTCCAGTATTCTTGCCTGGAAAAATCCCATGGACAGAGGAGTCTGGTGGGCTGCAGTCCATGGGGTCACAAGAGAGTCACTGAGCAACTAACACTTTCAGTTTAGAAAAGTAAAAGCATTATATTCTTGCATATATTCATAGGAAAAAATAGTAATCTTTGTATGGAAGGAAAGATACGTTCTCAAGTCCAGTCTTAGGAAATGTTGGCACATTTTGAGAAAGGATTATGTGGTTGAATTGGCTTTTGGTGAGTTTGTCAACTTCCCCCTGGAGGCAGGCAGATGTGGAGAAAAGCATCCTCTGGGACATGGGAATAGCCTCTGCCCCTCTGAAGTTGACGGACGACTCCTTTTCCGGGCTCTGTGGTGGCGCCATCTGAGGGTCCCAGAGCCCCGGTGTGAGCGGGGCTCTGACCTGTCCCTCCTCCCCCAGCCATCCTGCTGGCCTCGCGGGAGCTGATCCGCAGCAAGCGTCTAGCGCGGATGCTAGAGGTGGTCCTGGCCATCGGCAACTTCATGAACAAAGGGCAGCGTGGGGGCGCCTACGGGTTCCGGGTGGCCAGCCTCAACAAGATTGCTGACACCAAGTCCAGCATCGACAGGTGGGACTTAGCGGCTTCTAGCTCCTGTAGCCTCCGTCTCACCCCACCCTGGCCTCTCCCTCCTTCCTCTCCTTGCATGTGTGCTGTTGCTTTGGGCGTGTCCAACTCTTTGCGACTCATGGATTGCAGCCCACCAGGCTCCTCTGTCCATGGGGATTCTCCAGGCAAGAATACTGGAGTGGGCTGCCATGTCCTTCTCCAGGGATCTTCCCAACCCGGGGATCAAACTTGCGTCTGCCTGTGTCTCCTGCATTGCAGGTCGATTCTTTACCCACTGAGCCACCGGAGAAGCCCTGCCAAAATAGGTCACAGCTTTCCTCTGACACCTCAGCCTAATTTCTGCCAGACCCTCGTTCCCAATTCCCTTGGCCCCTGACCCCGACCTGACTTTCACCCACAGAAACATCTCTCTGCTCCATTACCTGATCATGATCCTGGAGAAGCACTTCCCTGACATCCTGAACATGCCCTCTGAGCTGCAGCATCTTCCAGAAGCCGCCAAAGTCAAGTGAGGGGACCCTGAGGCTTCCTTTTCCCTGTGATCACGTACTCTCTCATCTAAATTTCCTCCTTCAGGGCTACTCTGGGCTCACTAGGAATGAACAGTGTCTCGGGGTTTGCTCTGGGAGAACCCAACAAAAGACACTAGTAGTTGTCTTTTAGTCGCTAAGTCCTGTCTGACTTTTGCGATCCCATGGACAGTAGCCTGTCAGGCTCCTCTGTCCATGGGATTCTCCAGGCAAGAATACTGGAGTGGGTTGCCATTTCCTTCTCCAGAACAAGAGACACTATTTGCTCTCAAATCCTCATTTCAGAGATTCTCCCAGGAAACACAGTGGGGAGTGGGGAAGGGAGCCAGGGATGGGAAGAATGCCAACAACAGGAGTGTTGTTAAGTCAATTACCACTGCAGGCAATCAGAGCTTAATCCTGCCTGCAGAGTGTGGGTGACAGCATGGGACACTCACTCTGCTTATCCCCCCCAAACTGCAAAGGAGGTGAACATCATCTCCTGTCGGTCCCTGGCTGAGGAGTTTTGGGGGGGCAATGACTCTGTGACCCCCCCAGAAAAAGTGCTCAATGATTGGAAGTCAGGGCTGTGCAGTGGGATGGATGGTCCAAGGAGATATTAGGTGGGGGCACCAAGGCCATCTGCTACAGGCAAGAAGTCCGTCCTAAACACATACAGGCTGATAGACGCCATCTCCAAGAGACGCACAGTCAGAGCTCAGAGGGGAGGTGATTTGCCAGGGCCACATGTTAGTAGCAAAAGCAGAGCTGGAACCCAGGCCCACTGAGTCCCAAGGCCACTGGTGTTGACACTGCTCTGAACTAACCCCAGCTCCTCTCCCTCCCTTTGTCCCCTCCCCACCCCCCCAGCCTGGCAGAGCTGGAGAAGGAGGTGGGCAACCTCAGGAGGGGCCTCAGAGCAGTCGAGGTGGTGAGTACATCGTCTGTGCCCGCCTGGGTTTGACGGGATGCTGCCTGGGTTGGCGGCTGCCTGTCACTGGGCCAGAGGGTGGAACCCCAGCTGCAGACCCCGTCAGAGGCATCTCTGTGACCCAAAGCTCCTGGCGGGACTGAGAGAACAGCTGGCATAACGGATACAGCCTCCAGCACAGAGTGGGCCCTCAGGAAAGGATAGCTGAATTATCCAAGGCTTAGATTTAGACTCCTGAAGAGGGGACAGATGGATGGGAGAGAGGATCTGCATGCCTTGGAAATGGCTCCGGGCAGGTAGCACCCAGTGTGACACTGGGGACCACTCTCCTTTTTGCTGGTGACCCAGATCTCTGGTCTGTTCTATTCCTGCTCTAGGGGCTTCTCAGATGATATGCTATCTCTGGCGCCCAGTATGGGGATGGCCCCTACATCTAGAAACTAGAGAGCCTTCTCATCTTCACTGTGTGGGAGTGGGTAGGCAGCTAAGGGAGTAGAGGGTTTAGAGAAAGAAGCAGGAGAAGGAACCTTTTATTGCCATTATGGTGGCAGGAGGGGGCATGCTTCCTAATTTATAGCTCTTTAAAGCACCACCTGAAATGTGGTCCATGGACCAGCAGCATCACATGGAAATTTGGAAATTCTGCTCACACTTTAATCTGCACATGAATTGCCTGAGGGTCTTATTAAAATGCAGATTCTAATTCTGAGTGAGCCCGAGAACCTATTTCATAGAAAACTTCACAGTGCTGGTCCCTGGACCTAGAGAAAGATGGCAGTGGGGAGGAGGGAAGAATCGAGGCAGGTGGACTGGCTGATAGCCCACAATCTTTGCCACCCCTGGAATTGGAGGCTTGGGGTGTTCCCCCTTCCTAAGGAAGGCTCAGAGCCCTGCAGCTGGCAAGAAGGATGGGGGATGGGGTGAGCCGGGATTCCTGACTCTCGTCCTGGCACAGGTCTGACCAGCCCTTGGCTCTCCCTCCCCAGGAGCTGGAATATCAGAAACGTCAGGTGCGGGATCCGAATGACAAGTTTGTCCCGGTCATGAGCGACTTCATCACGGTCTCCAGCTTCAGCTTCTCAGAGCTGGAGGACCAGCTCAATGAAGCCAGGGCCAAGGTAAGGGGCCCCCAAGCCCGCAGGCTGACCCCACCCTGACTCCTCTCCGCCTGCACCGCTCCCACCCAGAGGGACACACCCAGAGGCACAGAGCTTTGAGGAGAAACCCTGTCCTCACTCCTGCAAGAAAAGCAACTCTGTTGTAAAACTTACCATCCATGACCAGTGTCAGGCACCTTGTTGTGTTTTCCACCATCTGCCTCACCACCCACCTTATGGGTCTGTTGAAGGGGTACTGTCCTATTCGACAGATGTGCGAGATCCGGCAAGGTTAAGTAACTTGCCCAAGGTTGCCCGGCTGTGTTAGACAGAGTTGGGTTGAGAAGCCTAACTCCGGAGCCCAGCTTCACTCTCAGTTGTTCTGCCTCTCCCGCAGGCATGCCCCTGGACCCCTGCTTCGAGAGTCTTATTGAGATGTGGGTCCTCATTCAAGGTCTGGGTTGGGGCCGAAGATTCAGTCTTCTAACCAGCTTCTAGGAGATGCCCGTGCTGCCAGTCCAAGGAGTACACTTAAGAGTTGCGAGGGCTGTCTTAGAGGGTTTTCAGCAGGTTGAATTAGAGACGTAGCCGTCAGTAAACAGTGCCGGGCACATGGCTAGCACTCCACATCACTAACTCATTGAACTCCCCCAACATCATGATGTAGTCCTGTTATCCCCATTTTACAGATGAGAAAACTGAGGCACAGAGTGGTTAAACAACTAGCCCAATAACTTGATGATCTGACATCCTTTTGGGTTCTAACCAAGCAGGTCCTGGCCTGTGGATGTGCTTCCCTAACTCTGTAGCTCCTGGTCCTGTATCTACACCCTAACAGACCCAGAGGTGGCTTGGGTTCCTCACCTCTGGCAGGTGTTAAGCCTTCCCTTCAGCCTTGCCCTTAACCCCTGATGACAATGGGGGTCTCCCCTCTCTCCTCCTACTCCCATCCTCCAAGCCCAAGGTCCTCCACTTGGATGAGCTCCACTGTGGCTGGAACCCACCTGCCCACTGGGCTCAGGCGGGGGACTCTCCATCAACCCTTCTCTCCCAACAGTTCTCCAAGGCCCTGACGCACTTTGGGGAGCAGGACAGCAAGATGCAGCCGGACGAGTTCTTCGGCATCTTTGACACCTTCCTGCAGGCCTTCTCGGAGGCCCGGCAGGACCTGGAGGCCATGCGCAGGAGGAAAGAGGAGGAGGAGCGGAGGGCGCGCATGGAGGCCATGGTAAGGGTGCCAGCGCGAGAGCGGGCCGAGACGGGCGCGGGGGCACGCGTACTGGGAGCGGGAGGCTCGGGGCGCCCTGGGGGCCAGGGGGCAGACGCAGCCCAGGCGTCTGTCACCCCGTGACTGCCAGCCCCTCATCTTCCTCCTCGCCTCCCCCTCCCCACCACCCCCCCAGCTGAAGGAGCAGCGGGAACGTGAGCGGTGGCAGCGGCAGCGGAAGGTGCACGCGGGCAGCGCGCTGGAGGAAGGCGGCGAGTTTGACGACCTGGTGTCGGCCCTGCGCTCCGGAGAAGTTTTCGACAAGGACTTGTGCAAACTCAAACGCAGCCGCAAGCGATCAGGGAGCCAGGCCCTGGAAGCCACCCGGGAGCGGGCGATAAACAGGCTAAATTATTGACCTGAGGACTGACCAGCAGCGGGAGACTGGGAGACAGGGATGGGCCCCCCACCCCGAGGGGGCGAGTGGAGGAGGTGGCGAGAGTGATACTTACATGACTTGGTGCTGGGCTTAGAGCCCTGGGCTGGGTCCTGGGGGCAGGGCTGTGTGTGGCAGGACCCCGGTGTCTCCCCACCTGAAGGGGTTCTCCTCATCTCCACTTCCCATTATTCTTCCTGCACCCTAGCCCCAGGGGTCACTCTCCTGAGGCTGACTTGGACATCCCTGGCCAGCCCCAGCTGAAGGGGCCCTGTTTCCCACCCTTCAGCATGGGCGCCTGTGTGTGGGCACAGAGCTGTTCCTGATTTAGACTGGAGAGAGGTCCACAGACCATGTCCAGATTTCCCATGCTGTGGGGAGTTAACAGTGGGCTGGGGGCACCCAGGCCCCCAGCTCTCAAGAGTAGGGTTAATGGAACATTGATTTGGGGTGAAGTATCCTATCAAATGGAAGAGGCATTAGAGATGCCAGCTATGTGTTCCGGAAAAAAAAATAGTGCTGGGAGGATGCTGCGGGGACCAAGTCATCACGACAGGGTGGCAGTGCCCATTTCCTAGATCACAAGTCCGCTGGCCCCTCTCTGGCATGTCATAAGTCTCTTTCCCTTCCTTCGTGCCATCTCCAGTCTACTAATCCAGAATTTCAAAACTCACCTTTGGGTTCCCATGACCATAGCTCACTATCAGGTATTTGATGGATCTGGTAAGGGTTCACGAAAGACCCCATTCATCACCACACCTTGGATGCTGGGCACAGGGATCCTGGAACAGAACTCTCCTTCCCCACCCCGACCTGGTACACCCTGACGGTTGTCTTGGAGACAGTGACCTCACAGGTTGGCTGGGGGTTCCAGAGGCCAGCGCTTGAACGGCTAGGTTCACCCTAGAGCTCCTGGGTCACCAACGTCACTCAGAGCCTGCGCTTCTCTTAACATCTGCAGTGAGCTCCTGCTCTGTTCAGCCTGCATGGGACTGCTTTAAACTGCCTGTATCTGGCTGAGGCTGGTCCTAGGGCATCGGTTCCTGAGTGGGTCCCAAGGGCAAGAGCTACCCCTCTGCCACCTCTAAGGGGGTAGAGGCCCCCCCCCCCCATCAGCGGCATTCAGACATAGGGCACAGCAGAACAAGGCAGGAGAAGCCGGCGAGTACACTGCCCAGTGGAGCCAATGGTGGAAAGCTGAGGGGGCCCCACTCGCCCATCTCTGGTGCCTGTTTGGTCCACCTGACTTCCAGGGGGCCCATTCTGGTTCTCCTGTCCACACTCACCTTCATTCTGTCCATCTAGAACTGTCCTCGTGGGGCAGGATGACGACTGGTATCTATAGTTTTCTCTCGTAAGAGGACAGAGGGTAAGCCCAACTCCAGCAAGGTTCATACTTTTAATACATTTCCTATCTCCTAGAATTAACCCCTCATCCTCAGTGTCGGAGACCTTCCTGACCCCCCCCCCCACCTCCCCAGTCAACAGGCTCCCTGCCCTTCCCCTTCTGAGTCTCACCTCCGACCTCCTCCAGCTCAGGGTTATTGCCAGTGGACAGACTGGTGGGCTGGGGCCCACTCTTCAGCTGCCTTTTCTGGCGGTGGAACCAGAGTAGCTGCGGGGTGGGGGAGAAACACAGGGTTGGTGAGCCCAGCACGTGTTGGTTTGAGGGGGAGGGACTGGAGTAAGTGTGAGTGTGATGGGGACAGGTGTGAAAAGGCCACTGGAGTCCATGTGAGGGCCAGGGGAAGGCCTCCAGGAAGACTGGCCACAGAGCAATGTACCCACAAGCCCCCAATTAAGAAGCTGGTGCTGGGGTGATGGGAAGGTTGTGGTGGGGGCCTCTTAAGGCCCTCCTGAGCCTGGCCAGGCCGGAGTCCGCCTCACCCATGGGAGCAGGGAGGCCTCCGCTTCTATGCAGCAGGCCCGTCCAGATCCCAGCGTTCCCACCCACCATGGAAGACTAGATACGCACCAGGAAAAGAAGGGATAATGGAAGCGTTTGGCAAGACACGTTGGGAATCACAGAAAAAGCACAGTTTGGTTTAACTGTTTACAGAGGACACATATATTGTTCCAGGGCTCAGGCGTCTCACTTCTAAAGGTTTTGCCTTCTCTATTTATTATTTTCTAGATCTGGCCAGTGGCTCTGACACCAGACGCTGCTGTAGCCAGATAGATGGCCAACAGTGCCTTGGACCGTGGACCATCATGGCCGACTCAGCAAGAAGGGCAGGTGCCTTAGAGACGGCCGAGTTGGTCCTCGATGCACTACGTGTTTACGCCTGTTATATTTGTTCCTTGGTCATTCCCCCATGCCTTTCCCGCCCCCCCACCACCTGCCACCTATGGGTTAATTTCTTTAGCTGTCTTATTTTGTGTCCAGTGTAAAATTCCAATTAACCTGATGCAACCTGTCCCTTTCTCAGCAGCAGCACCCACCGCCCACCCCCTCCTCTCAGAGATGGAAGTAGGGTGTGTTTAGGACAGCAGGAGGAAAAAATTCTCCAGGTGGCTGGGGAAGGGTCTGATCCAGGCTTCACCCTCCCACTTTGCACCCACTGGTGGGGTGGGGGGAGCATGACCATCTCCCCCACCTCTACCACCTCCACACTAAGGCTGTTTTCACCAGCTCTTTCAGACGACAGATGAGGCTAATGTACAAAATCTGCAGTGTCCTTTTCGCCTGCACCTTTTTTTTATAAGAATATATTGTAATACTAAAAAATATTAAATCCGTACCACCCTCACCTAGCCTGCCTTGAAACCTGTGCCCCCTTCCCAGGTGGGGGTGTGAGGCTGCTGGGGAGGGGGCAGAGCCCGTGGGTTGCTGGGACCAGATCCTACCAGCGCTAGGAGCACCAACTGCTCCAGACTCAGGGATTCCGCAAGCCGGCTCACACCGTACAGTACCTTGAAATCAGCCAAGGTGGGAGGACTTGGAAAAGAAAAGGCCAGTCTCCAAGGTCTAAGAGCTGGGTGGCTGTTAATGGTTTACCAGCAGACCTGGGTGTAGGGCAGACGGGAGGCAGGTAAAGTGGGGTGAGAGGGCGGGTCACACTAAGATGAGAACCAGAGGAACCTACCCACGTCGAGAGAGCCCAGCGAGCGTGTCCGGTGTTTTGGGGGGGATGTGAAAACTAGGAGTCTCTAACTGCACCCCTGACCTCTATCGGTGACAGAAGGCGCTTCGGACGCCCCCAGCTGACGGTGCTACGGGAGACGCTGCATCTCCATGCCTCCCGCTCTGTGCCTCCCTTCTCCCCCAGGGAAGGCGGGGGCACACGGAGAGCATGCCCCTTGGCTTTTCCAGCATCTCTGCTGCATCTCTTCCCCCAGGGGGCAGGGCTTTGCGCAGCTGGGGAGACCCGACATCACGGCTCCGTGCCCTCGGCACAGACAGTCCTCACTCCCACATCTCCAAAGCTGGAATTGTGGCTTTATTTTGTGCGTGGTGAGGGTGAAGTCAAGCTCCACTGCTCCTCCCCGCCTGGAGTGTCCCAAGATGAAGGCGTATAGAAGGTGTGCTCGGTCAGGAGGCTTCGGGGCTGTGGCCCATGGGGGATACTGCTCAGGAGGAGGAGGGGCCAAGGCAAGAAGCTGCAGGACGGTGCAACTGATAAGCTGGAAGTCTGTCTGATGGGACAGACTCAGGCAATGGGAGGGGGATAACCTGCTTTTTCGAGGGAGCACGGCAGAGAGGCCAGGGCTGCAGTTAAGTGATCCATTCCCAGGGCAAGCCGCACTCCCTTCCTCAGAGCGGGTTCCTCTGCTTATGAGCCCTTGTTCCTCCCGGGAAAAGGAGGAGAAGAGAAAACCCACTCGAGAAGTGGAGGTCATGGCCTCGACGGATTGTCTCCAAGAGTTCACAAGTCACACTGTGATTATCTAGCAAGGTTAGATAACCCTCCCAGGCACAACCTTAGGGTTCAGGAAGGCTGAAGGGCCTGCTGGTTTCCTCTTGGAAGACAGGAAACCCTGAAGGTCAGTGAAGGTCATCTAGCAGTGAAGGGGTGGGCTGGCTTCAGGTTCCTACTGGCTGAAGGTAACTGGTGAAAGGAACTTGACCTCTTTCCCTTGGGTTGAAATCACATCCCATTGCTTGACCTTGCCGGCCTGGGGGTGAGAGCGGGGGCAGGAGCTCTATGTTCGGTGGAAGTCCCCTCGCTGACCCCCGGTCTTGCTAATGAGCTTGATCTCTGCCAACACGATATCCCTGCTGACGGCCTTGCACATGTCATACAGAGTAAGGGCGGCCACAGCAGCAGAGGTCAGGGCCTCCATCTCCACCCCAGTGGGGCCCCGGGCCCAGCAAGATGCCTGGATCACCGCAGCATGGCGCGCGTGGTCCAGCTCCAGCCGCACCTGGACGTGGCTCAGGGCCACGGGGTGGCAGAGAGGGATCAGCTGGCTGGTCAGCTTGGCCGCCTGGATGCCTGCCAGCTGGGCCACCGCCAGGGCATCTCCCTTCTTGAGCTGGTTCTCCTGGATGAGCTTGAAGGCAACGGGCCCCAGGAGGACCACAGCCGAGGCCACGGCCACCCGCTCTGTGTCTGGCTTCCTGCCCACGTCCACCATAGCCATCCGTCCTTCTGTGTCCACGTGGGTCAGTTGGTCAGAGGCTGGCAGAGGTCCTGAGGCAGCAGCAGGAGCCCGAGGCTCTGTTGGGCTAAGGCACTTTGGGTTGGCATCTGAGTCCAGGTGGGAACTGAAGTGTCTCTGAGGGAGGCTGGCCCCCAGCTGGGCAAGAAGAGGGGCCTGGGGGACCCCGCCTCCTTTCCATAAAGTCACCATCTGGCTGGAGAAATTCACTCTGCGCCTCAGAACCTGAACACCGAGAGAGTTCCTGAAAGTGCTTTGAAGGGCTGGTGGGGAATCTTGGTGCATCAAAAATAACTCTAGAATGAAGACAGAAGAGGAGACTCGGTCCAAAAGGGTCTTCGGCAAAACCACCTCCTCCCCACCCCACCCCGAGTTTCCCCATTCATGTTAGGGAACGTGCAATGAAGGGCAAAGAGCACAGTGAGAAGACAGAAAACAGAAGATCCACAGAGAAGGTGTCCCCAGAATATAAGTATGCAGGCTTCCTCACCAGGAGGTACAGACAGCAAAGGTCCCAGGGTCTCTACCCGTCCTGCAGTGAAGGGTGGGGGTGCTCCCATCCGGTGCCACCATGCAAGGTCTGAAGACTGAAGTCTTGATCACATGACCACTCTGTCCCTTCATTTTCTTAAAACTATAGCCAGGCCTCAGCATGAATTACCAATTAGTTACTCTCATGTTCAACTTTTCCAGGAAGGGCTAACAGTAATCATCTGCTTTGCAGACAAGATTCTAAGGGAAATGATCTGTTTCAATGACATCTCAAGCACATCAGAAGTGCACACGAAGCAACAGGCTGATTCACATGGTCCCAGGGGCCTCAGGGACCTTGTTACTCAAATGGTGGTCCAGGGACCAGCACCATCTGAGAACTGTTAGAGACACAGCCTAGACCTCTCAAATCCAAGTCTGAAATAACAAGATCCCTACGGGATTCAAATGCGTGTGAAAGTCGAGAGGCCCTGTTCTGGACAACTCTCAGTTTTATGCAAAATGAGACCACTTTAGTCACTCTATATCCTTGACAGTAACCTTACTCCTTGTGAATCAATCAGGTCTCCCAACTACCAGCCTTCCAACATGCTCTGGGTCCCCTAACTTGTCAGTGTCACAGATACAACCTCCCTCGGTGGGAGGGCGGGGGTGGTTATCCAGGCATCCCCCACTCTCTGCCATCAAGATGTGTCAGCCTGGGTCAAGGCCCAATACAGGAGGAGAAGGATGTGGAGGTGAGGGCAGAAAACAGGTGACACAGCTTTCCTCTCGATGGCATGCTGTGGTGCGGGAGGCTGGTGTGGTCCCTGGGCTGCCTCAGGACACTGGCTGGCTCTGCTCCAAGCGCTGAAGAAAAGAACCCCTGCCCCTGGCTGTTCTCTCTGCCTTCTCTTGCTTAGGGCATGATTCAGGGGCCCAGATCTGCCTGTGGCCAAGGGGGTGAGGCCTCCCCCGCTCTAGCCTGGGCATGTGCCAGTGGGGTGACAGCATCCCTAAAGCTCCTCGTGGAGTGGCCAGGTCCCCAGGGTTGGAGCCCATATGCAGCTCAATAACAAGATGCTTCTGCTTGAAGCATCCGATGCACAGGAGAGACACCCTGCTGCTGCTGCTAAGTCTCTTCAGTCGTGTCCGACTCTGTGCAACCCCACAGACGGCAGCCCACCAGGCTCCTCCATCCCTGGGATTCTCCAGGCAAAGATACTGGAGTGGGTTGCCATTTCCTTCTCCAATGCATGCATGCATGCAAAGCCGCTTCAGTCATGTCCGAGTGTATGCAACCCTATGGACAGGAGCCCACCAGGCTCCTCTGTCCACAGGATTCTCTAGGCAAGAATAGTGGAGTGGGTTGCCATTTCCTTCTCCTAGAGACACCCTGGGCACATACACAAGTTCCCAGAAGTTCTGGAATTAGGTAGTTGCGATCCCGGCTGTGTTCCTCCATGGAGAGCTGAGCAATACGCTCGCTTAGCTGCCAAAGCGCTGCTCGGCACAGGGACATAACAACACGTGGGCCAGTGGCACTGATGGTCCACACACTCGTGGCCTGGTCCACAGGGCAGAAGGGAAGGGACAGACAATGACTGCATCCGACCTGGGAGGTCCCAGAGCCGAGGACAGGTCTCTGTCTCAACCAGAAGCTCCACTCTCAGGGGCCAACTAATGCAGCGATCATAAACTTTAGAGCCCCTTCACGCCCAGCCTGATCTCTTGTGAGACAGAATGACGACTTCTGTGGACGTGTAGTGAGGGGGAGCCGTGGAAGGGAAGGAAAGAAGCAGTAAAGGCTGGAAGGAGCAGGAAAAGATGAAGGATGAGAACCTCAGGATGAAGTGCAGGATCTGGGGAGGGGGTTGCCTTATGGCAGGGGCCCTGCCCCAGGGGACTCCCAATGACAAGGGTGCGTGGTTACGTACTGATGGGTCACCCACCGATGAGGATCATGGGCCGGTTCTTCATCTGGGAGATATTGAACATGCCTGGAGTGAGGGGAGGGTAGGAGAGGAGAGTAGGGATGGGGGGAGAAAGAGGGCAGGGGAGAGAGTTCACTAAACGTATGATGGACACAGTGGTGTGACAGCCGCGGGCACACATGCTCACCTACATGCACCCCAACAAAGACCCCCACAGGACACTGCGAGGGCCCATGACAGAGCCCAGAACACAATCTGGGTGCCAGGATCCTGCCTTGGTAGAAGACAATGTGTGGGATGACAGAGAGGCAATGACACCCCTCTTTCCCCCCACCCGATGAAAATGGCCCCAGAGCATCTGAGGTCCCCTGTCTTGCACAGGCTCTGCTGGGCCAAGAAGCATCACCACACCCCAAGTCAAGAGGTCCAATAGGAATGATGGAGAGCACAGACCACACGGGGTCCCCAGGCTGCCCCTCATCCTCCTGCCCCAGAACTACAGACCTCCCTCCTGCTACCGACAGCCCACTCGCCACCCAGCCTGGCCTCCCCGCACCCTACCTGCGTGCTGCCGCTTCTTTCTGCCCACTGCAGCCCCGATGACCCTCAGCAGCTCCTCCTCAGAGGCCCCTGCCCGCAGGTGGTCCCGAAGAGACACCTCTGAGTTCCCGAAGAGGCAGACCTGGAGAGGGTCACACGGTGGGTGAGGCCAACGCACCCTCTGGATCCTGAGCCCTGGCCCCCATCCTTAGAGGAGTACCCCACCCTGGGCTGAGCAGGAGGGCCTTCCATGGCTGGTCAGACTCAAAGCAAGATTTCCTGCAATGAGAGGCCGAAGGTGCTAGATGGAGCAGTCAGAGGGGCTGCAAGGGCAGGGAGCAAAACCAGACAAGGCCTGTGTCTGACTTCCAGTTATGCTTCTTTCAGCGTATAGTGTGCTTTAAAAAATTAATAATTGCCAACAGAGACAGTGCATCAAAATCTAGAGGCATACCTTCTCCTGAGACATTCCATGGAATGGCCTCTTTGCTGCCAGAAGAACAGATCCCAGAGAGGGGGAGCCACGTCCAAACGGTCTCCTGGGAGACCAGCAGGCACAGACCGTTTCCCCTCCATCCTCTCCCCGTCCCTTCGCTCCTGGACCCTGCCCGCCTGCCCTGACTCTGTCTGTGGGCCCTGACTGGTGGATGAACAGCAGAGGGCTGGTGGAGAGGGCATCCTGGGGTCAAACTTGATTCAACGCTCCCCTGCTTCTGAGCGCCCCTGCTCAGGGGGCGATGGGGCGGTCCCACAAAGCGAGATGCCTACTGCCTCCCACGAAGCCACATAAAGCCCCTACTAAGTGCCAGCTCTATACACGGCTCTCTGGACACAGGCACCGAAGCATCTTTGACAAACTGAGATGGTCGGAGGGGATGTGAACGAGCGCTCAGCGGAAGGCACAGCCACCTCCCCGTGTGGGCTGGTGCCCTCCTCGCTCCCCAGCAGCCCCGAGGCTCCACTCTCTGCCCTTCTCTGCAGCCGGGGGGGCCCTCCAGCTGCCTTCTGCCCAGCGGGGTTGGCTGTTGGGAGGTCAGAAGGAGAGAGGAGAGAGAGAGGCCTCGCACTTCGGCAGTGGAACTTCCATCCACAGCCCTGGCCAGGCCGCCACTCCGCCAGGCTCCAGCTCTCCCAGGGACACCATCTCCGCCTGGGCCCCTTCCTCCCTAGGGTGGGACAGCAGTTTGCTGCGGCTCATCCAGTGCCTCAACACCCCTTAACAGGCCCCCGGAACTCTGCACCATAAACAGCCTATTCTTCACTTTCTGCTCAAAATTCTCACTCCACTTCCTGGGGCCGGGGCCGGGGCCGGAGGCTGACACAGTCATCATTTCTCATCTATAGCCCAGTCAGTCCTATGCCTCCAGCCCAGATAAGCCTTTGGTTTTGATTTTTTTTTTTTTTGGCTGAGTCACACCATGCAGTATGTAGGAGTTTATGGGGCTGTTTGCACTTCCCTTCCGCCCCCAATCCAGTTCCCCAACCAGGACTGAACCCTCAACCCTGCAGTAAAAGTGTGGAGTCCTAACCACTGGACCACCAGGGAATCCAACCCCTGGCTTTATGACAGTCTGCCGCACAGCTCCGTTCTGATGCCCATCTTGATGGTCTAAACCCACCCACCAATACCCCTGCCCCCAACCCCAGGCAGGTCCCAGAGCCCCCCAGACACCCGGGCGCCCCTCTCTCCACCCCCACCTGCATCTCCAGGTTCTTTCTCTCTTCCTTTCCACCTTCACCTCAACTCTTATATGTTTGGAACATCACTAAATGGCCATCTAACTGTCTTTCTATTTCCAAATTCAAGCTGGGAGTGATTCTTCCTAAAATACGAATGGGGCATCCGACCTCCACCTTGTACAGAAACTCTGCACAGCATCCTACTGCCAACAGGTCACTCTCTGTACCTTTGAAGGGGGCGCTCAAGCCCTCCACCGACCGAAACCTGCCCTGGCCCAAATTAGGGTGAACCTCAGACATGCCTCCTCCCCCACACCTGGAGGGAGGCCTGTTGAGGCCTGTCCAGCTGCTCATTTGACAAAGAATCACATGCTACCACCCTTAGCTCCTTGGTCTCAGAAGGAGCCTTTGGTGCCCATAGAAAATGGGCCTGTCTGCACCTCCCTTCCACCCCCTATGCCCAGTGCCAAACACACAGCACAGCTCAGCATGTGCTGATTAGATATGAAGAGCAGATGGTTTCAGGGACGAGCCGCTGGCCTGGTGGGAAGGGCAACTGGGGTGGGAGCTGGGGGTAAAAGGCACATTGATCCCGGCCTGGCCCCCTGCCTTCCATAGCACTGAGTCTTGGAGAGGGGCTCCTGATCAAGCAGAAGCTACTTCGAGGACCCAAGTAACGACGGAACCAGGGAGGCAGTTCCGCGGGAGCCACAAGTTCACCTCCATCTGCTGCTCCCATGATCCCCCTAAACCTGACACTATTTCACCATCATCCCCGTGTACCCTGCGAGCCACCTCCAATCAGGGGGCGCGGCTGGGAAGGCACATACAGAGCACAGAGGGGCAGGGGTCTCGCGGGGGAGGAGACACTCACCTTGAGGTTCCCATCCGCCGTGATTCGCAGCCGGTTGCAGGTCCCACAGAAATGCTCAGACATAGACGTGATGAAGCTGACCTGGCCTCGGAAACCAGGGATTTTAAAGGCCTGTGGGCGGGCGCAGAGAAGACGGGGGTGGGCCAACTCTCCCTCCCTGACATCAGATCTGACACCATTTCCTCTCCGTGGGAACCCTGAAGAAAGCAGCCTGCAAGGCCCTCAGACAACAGAAACCCTGAGCTCTCTGCCCACATCTGGCCTGCCCAAGATGAAGGCTCCTAAAGTTTCAGGAAGCTGGGGGCAGCACGGCCAGAGACAGACACGTGGGAGGGCCAGACAAGCTCCCGTCCACCACTTACCCCGGTGTGCCCCACAACAAGCTCCTTAACCCAGGTCAGGCCTTCCTGTCTGTCAGTGAAGCAGGGAGTCCGCTATGACGGCCCTGAATCGCTTCCTGCTTAAAGAGCACTGCCCTATATCACTGACTCCACCCCCAGCGCGGCCCCTGCCAGCTCTCCCGTCCGAGGGTCTTAGGGTAGTGGCATGACCATCTTCCCAGCCCCAGCCCCGCTGTCCTGCCCCCAACCTTGGCTGTGCTGGATTCCTCCTCGGGCAGCTTCTCCAGCTCCGGCCACTGCTGCCGGAGGGTGTCCAGCATCTCCTTATAGCTGACCATCTTCTTAAAGTTCCACTTGTTGCCTGTGTTGGGGGTGGCAGCCACTGAGTTGCATGCTATGGGGGTGCTGGCGCTTTAAGTTCACCCTCCCACAGCCCAGGAACCAGCTCTCTGCCTCTGGGCCAGGAGAGCATGAGGCTCAGCCTGAAATGGGGGGATGGAGCCACACCTACGCTCTCCAAGAGAAGCCTCCAGTCCCCACCATGGGCCTGGTGCCAGCCAGACCCCTCCCCACCGTCCCTGGAGAAATTCCTACACACACAGCAGGGTCTAAGGTCAGCAGCATCCACAGGGGTGGCCTGACCTTGTCTGCTCACTCAGCCCTTCCCAGGGTCCTTAGCAGTGCCCCCGCTGTGTTCTCAGTGAGGCCCTGGCCAGGCTCCATGGACAGGCCTGGCCTCTTCTTCCCCCACCAACTCTGCCCTGTGGCACCCACTGACCGTCAAAGGGCATGTACTCGATGAAGCGCACATCCAGGGGGAGGCCCTCGGTCAAGGCCACGAAGTCCAGGAGTTCGTCCTCGTTCAGGCCTCGCATCACCACGCAGTTCACCTTGTCGGGGAATAAGGGAACCATGAGGGTTAGCCTTGCGGTGTTCTTTCTCCGAGACAGAGGGCTGGTTCTGGCACCTGCCTCAGCTCTCCACCTAGGATCCCATTCCTTGCAGCTCTCCCCCAGTTCTCCATGGGGGTGGAAAATCCCATGGGGTCACTGGTTTTCTCTCCACTCTTGCAGGGAGCAGGGGCAAGGCTGGAAGAACTGGGCCAAAGGTAGTGGGGGCTACCCTGCAGCTGCTCTGGCCAGGGATGGAGGCTGTCTTGGAGGAGCCAGGAAGTCCTCACCTTCACGGGGCTGTAGCCCAGCTCGATGGCCTTGTGGATGCCCTCCATGACCTTGTGGAAGCCTGTGGGAAGGGAGAGAAGCAAGGGTCCAGGCACCGCCTCCCTCTTCCCCCGACCCTACACCCACAGTGAAGTGCCAGAGCCATCAGGAGCCTCAGAGACCACAGAATCCGGGGACCAGAGAGTAGATATTTTAGGCTCTGTAGGCCAAGAGGCAAAATTGAGGGTATTGTATAGACATGTATCATAAAGGCTTCATTAACTAAATTCAGAATATGACAATAATTGAGTATGACTTATAACACAGCTCTGCAAATAGAATGGAAGAGTGAAGTTCTTTTTGCAGGGACAATATTTCACTTAATTGGGATTCATGGCGAATGTTCCTTATCATTAAATTCATGGCAAATGCTATCAGCGAAATCCATTCCTGGCTCGCAGGCTGTAAAAAGCCAGGCACAGGGGCTGGACTTGGCTGGTGGGCTGTGGGGACCCTGATCTAGATGAGCCCGCTGATGTTCAAGAGGAAGAAAGCGAGGTGCAGAGAGACAGTCAGTGCCCTCCGGGGCTGGGGACAGGAGTGGGGGTGGGCTTGCGTTTGTCCTTCAGAATGCAGGTTCCCCAACTCCCTCACAGTGCTTCCTCCTCCCCAGTGCATCCATTCACCCACTCTTCACGTTCTCCTCAAGCACTTAGGAGGCCCAGACGCTGGGCTGGGCTGGTGAGCACGTCCCACGCGTGTGGGTCTCACCCATCTCTGTGGTTAATGCAGTGACTGCAGACCCAGGCTGCCTTCTCCTCCTGCCCCAGCTCACTCATGCATTCAAACATCCAGGTGCCTTACAGACCCTCCCCTGCACCCAGCTGGCCTCCACGGCTTCCCCGTAGCATTTCTGGAGTAAGACAGCCATGTTCAGCTGCTCAGTCATGTCCGGCTCTTTTTTGACCCCATGGACTGTAGCCCGCCAGGCAGCCCTGTCCATGGGACCCTCCAGGCAAGAATACTGGAGTGACTTGCCATGCCCTCCCCAAGACGGCAGGAAGACACGGCAAAGGAAAGAGTGGGCAGGATTTACACAATGTGTTGTTAGGAAGTTCTCTCTTCTGTAAAGCACCCTCCCTCCAAAAGGAGGCAGGGGACACAGAGGGGCAAGTGGGAGGGCGGATCTGACGTTAGGATCCACTGTCTCCAATCTTCATTCCAGGAAAGGAGTCAAGGAGGCAGGGGGTGTGGGGAGGTGTGTGTTTGCGGGTGGGCGTTAGGGGTAGGTGGGTATGAATAAAGCTCCCAATTACACCTTCCACCTCCCCACCTCAGAGCCCCTGCAGGTTCAACTGATGCTCCACATCAGAGTGAGCTCCCTTGATTCGAATACTCCATCCCTCAAGGCCCAGCAGGAATGCCTCCTCCTTGAAGCCCTCCCAGTATGCCCCTGCTAGGAGAGACAGCCCTAATGGGAGAGAGTTCTCTCGTCCCCTATGCAGGCCTGAACTGACACCACACGGCCAGCAAAGGTGGTCCCCCGGCATCACACTCTCAGCCCCTCACAGTCTATAAGGCAGAGCAGTGTCCTGTGTCTGTCCCTCCGCTGCGCCTGGAGCGGCCCTTCGCAGGAAGCAAAGACTGTCCCAGGTTTCCTCAGCACACTGCTGGGTATAAACAGGAAGTCACAAGCTGGGGGGTGGGGGGATAGGGGAGAGGAGGTGGGGCTGAGAGCTCCAGGCTGTTTCCAGAGAAGGGGAAGGAGAGCCGGATCTCCCCAGCCATCTCTGATCCACCAGAGCAGTCTTGGTAGTATACCGCCCTCCCCAAATCAAAGGGCGTCCGACCCTCTACAGAATCTCCCACCCAACCCAGGGCTCATGGATGGCGGGTGCCAATCTAGTGAGACCCAGGGCTCGGCCCCTCCCTGACGGAGACTGGCAGGAGGTGGCTGTGGGTGTGCTGGCTGCAGGGGGTGAAGGAGAGGCTTGCTACATCAGGAGGGGCCCAGCGAGCACCCCTGGGTGCTGGGGGACCCCCCCCCACTGGCAGCGCTGGCCCTGTCCCTGGCATCTAGGACGGTGGCTTCCACCCCCAGCTGCCGCACACTTCCTCAGACCTCACTACAGGGTAAACAACTTGTCCCAGCATGCCAGGGACTGTCTTGGTTTTAAAATGGAAAGTCCTGTGTTCTGGGAACACTCTCTGTGCTGGGCAGGGAAGAGGGAAGGCTGGTCACCACGGTTCATTAGCATCTGATCCCAAAATGTCCTCAAGGGGGTGGCCACAGAGAAAAGGGACATGCAGCAAGAGCGAGGACGGAGGAATAAACGTCTAGGCTTCACGAGAGCCCAGACACAGAGATGGAGAGACCAGGCCCCTCGCACTTGCCACGGCTCCCCCACTACGAGGGCCTGGGAGGGTCACCCTCCACCATGAACCCCATCTGATCACCTTTCCTGCGGACGATGAACTCAAACTTGGCTGGTACCAGAGTGTCCAGGCTGATGTTGATGGCGCTGAGACCAGCTTTCTGAAGCTGAGGCAGCAGCCGGGCTAGGTTGATGCCATTGGTGGTGATGCCGATGGTCCTCAGGCCTTCCAGGCGACGGAGCTGGGCTGGAGAGAGAACACGGAAGGGTATCAGCCTGCTTGTTCTTGGTGAGGCCGGGAGAAGGGCTGAAAGAGGAAACTCTGCAAGATGGACAGAAAACGGGCTCTCTGTGGACTACTACTGACCAGGTTTAGCTTAGCAAGCAACGTAAGGATAAAAACAATGATCTAAAAAAGCAACCAAAAGATCAAAGACCAAGTGCTCCCTTTGCGAGGGTGCAGATGGGACCAGATGGATTAAGGAGACCCGAGCCCAAAGAGCACAGAGGAGGAGGTTCTGCACAAAGTGGGAAGGAAACTAGCCTGCACCAAGTGAGCAGTCACCTAGACAAGGAGCAGGAGCAGGGGCCCTGCGTGTGGCAGAGAGGCCGCCTTCTAGGGAACTGTGCAGGGATGATTGGGTGTACTGGCCGCCCTCGCATCCCCACCAGCAGGGGGAAGGCAGCAGCTTTTATCCCAAGGCTACAGCACTTTAGCCAGCTGAAGGGGGTGGGGGCAACCCTGAGTAGCTGCAGACAGTCAGAAGACAGTGAAAACTATGACACAAGGATGAAAGAAACGGAAGACCATGCAAATAAACGGAAAGATATTCTCTGCTCGTGGATTAAAGAATCGACATCGTTAAAATGCACCATCCTAACCCAAAGCAATCTCCAGATTCAATGCAATCTCTATCAAATTTCAATGCAATCTCTATCAAAATTCCAATGGCATTTTTCAGAGAGAGAACAAACAATCTTAAAATATGTATGGTACCACAGAAGACTCTCAGTAGTCAAAGCAATTTTGAGAAAGGAGAACAAGGCTTGAAGCATCACACTCCCTGATTTCAAACTATATTACAAAGCTGTAGCAATCAAAATGGTATAGTATTGGAATAAAAAAAGACCCGTGAAGGATTCCCTTGGTGGTCCAGTGGCTAAGACTCCACACTCCCAATGAAGGGGACTTGGGCTCAATCGCAGGTTGGGGAACTAGATCCCACATACAGCAACTAAAGATCCCACGTGCTGCAACTAAGACCCAGAGCAGCCACATAAATAAACAAAGCTACATGGATCAATGGAACAGAACACAGTCCAGAGATAAACCCATGCAAGTGCGGTCAACTAATTTACAAGGAAGCCAGAAATATACAATGGGGAAAGGACAGGGAAAACTACATAGCTAAGTGCAGAGGAATGAAATTGGACCACTCTATTATGCCATACACAAAAATCAAACTCAACTCAAAATGGATTAAATCTTGATGTGAAACCATAGGACTCCTAAGAGGAAACAGGCAGTAAGTCAAAGGGGCTTTACTTCGACACTGATCTTGGTGATGATTTTTTTGCATCAGACACCAAAAGCAAGGGCAACAGAAACAAAAATAAGTAAGTGGGACTACATCAAAGGAACATGCATGCACACAGCAAAGCAAATGGTGGACTTAAGTCCGCCTACTGAACAGCAGAGGGTATCTGCAAGTGATACATTTGATGAAGGGTTAACACCCAAAATATACAAAGAAGTCATACACCTCAACACCAAACAAATGAACAAACAAACAAAAACCACCTCCTGATTAAAAAATGGACAGAGGATCTGAATAGACATTCTTCCAAAGAAGGTCTACAGATGGCCAACAGATAAATGAAAAGGTGCTCAACGTTAATAATCATCAAGGAAATACAAATCAAAGTCACAATGATATCACTTCACATTTGTTAGAATGGCTATGATCAAGAAGACAAGAAATAACAAGGGTTGGCAAGGATGTGGCGAAAAGGGCACCCCTGTGCATTGCTGGTAGGAACGTAAATTGGTGCAGCCCCCATGGAAAACAGAGCAAAGATTCTTTACAAATTTCAAAATAGAACTACCCCGGGATCAGCAATTTCACTTCTGGGTATTTATCCGAAGAAAGTGAAAACATTAACTTGAAAAGATATATGCACCCTATGTTCACTGTAGCATTATTTATAATAACCCAGACTTGTCCATTAATGGATAAATGGATAATTAAAATGTGGTATACACACACACAATGGAATATCATTCAGCCATAAAACGAAAGAAATCTGGCCATTTGCAACAGCATGGATGGACCCTGAGAGCATCATGTTAAATGAAAATAAGTCAGAGAAGACAAATATTACATAATCTCACTTAAACATGGAATCTAAATTAAACCAAAAAACTAAAAAAAAAAAACCACCAATAATCATGGATGTGAACAATATCGTCGACAAATATGTATTGATCAATGAGCAATACATAATAAAGGGAAGTAGGAAAACATCCAGATGGTCAAAAACAGACAACTGGTAAATTATGCTTCGTCTAGATGATGGAATATCATGAAATTAAAAATGTACCAAAATATGTCAGGTTGTTGGGAAATACACAAAATCCAGAGTGCAGGTTAAAAACAGTAGTTAAAAATTAGGGAGAGAAGAAAAAAGGACAGGCAGGTCGCCAAACCAAAATATTGACAGCAGTTTCAGTTGGGCAGCAGTGATGTCATTTTTGCTTATCTGAAATAAACACGTATTACTTTTGCAATAAGAAAATCAAAGTGTAAAAATAAAAGTTGTTGTTTTAAAAACAAAGTGAAGAACTTTACTCTGGGGACTCTGCCAATGTGAAAAAATTAGTAGTAGTTCTTGGCTCCCTCCAGCAAATCAACCCTGAACAAACACAGAAATCTAGAAACTTAAAAAAAAAGACAGTCTTGAGAAACTCACAGGATGATGGACAGTCCCTTTTGAGCTGGTATGGGGAAGGGGGCGTGGAGCTGAAGGGGACTGGGAATGAAAGCAGTTAAGAGGAAGCCAGCGGGGGTGGGGGGTGGGCAGGTAAACTTTCTCCCTGCCCTTATCCACTGATGCCTCAGCATGATAACTGCTTGTCCCCTTACTGAAGAATCTGGTGATAGGTGATAGGAGCACCAGAGAACTAGCTCAGGAATTCACTAGAGGTCAGGTGGGTGGGGGTCAGGTGGGTGGTGGTGGGAAATGTCCTGCTGGGAGTCGAAGACCACAGTGGGGGACCGTCTGGCCTCAGGCATCCATTCCTCCACTTTCCTCCTCCAAAGCCCACTGAGAGTCACTGCTTCCTTCCAACCTGCTTCTCCCCGAGGGCAGAAGGCCTGCTGGACCACAGGATTACATCACTCCGGGAGGTGCCGTTCTCATCAGGCTCTAGGTGGACAGCATCTCCTGGAGTTGCCCAGTATACAACCTGCACAGTCTGACATTAGCATCCTTAGTTAGGAAGGGCCTCGGGGCCTCAGTAAGGGCCAGCATCAGGGAATTAATAGTGCCAGCGTCAGGGCATTAGTTAGAGCCATAGTCAGGAAATTAATTAGGGCCAGCCTCAGGGCCTTAGTTAGGGACAGTATTTGGGCCTCTGTTGGAGAAAACTTGAGGGCCCTAGTAAGAGACAGGTTGTTAGTTAAGGATAGCATCAGGGGCTTAGTTAGGGACAAGATTAGGGGGATAGTGAGGGGTATTTAAGGCTACTAGGGACATTGTCAGGGCCTCTGTTGGGGCAAGCATCAAGGCTATAGTTATGACCAGAGACAGGGAGTGAGTTAGGACAGCATCAGTGTGTTTAGAAGAGAGTCAGGCCACTATTACAGGCAGTGTCAGTGACCTGAGTAGAGACAGTATCAAGACCTTATTTAGTGAGAACGCCAGAGACTTGTTTTGGGTTAGGGTTTAGGGTTAGGCTGGTCCCTGGTGGGGAGCATTACAAACATAAGTGAATAACTGTGATATTCTGGCATCTTGAGCTCTCTGGGCCTATCAAAGACTATGATCTGGCCTTGAACCTTTTCCTACTAAGTGTCATACAGAATAGCTCATATCCTCAGGGCAGGAAATTTACTGGCTAAACTAAGGAGACCCTTGAGAAGTACATCTAGTGCCTCCCCGACCAAAAACAAACAAAAAAACTCCAACCCTCCATTCATATCAATAGGAAAAAAAAAAAAATGATAAAACAGACCAAGACTGTAAGAGAAATACAAATATAACAAAACAAATAACAGAGGCTTTTAACAAAATGAAACAGAATTTTTCATGGTAAAAGGGAACAAGGGAAAGCAGTAGCTAAAAACATTATTGTGAAATAAATAACACAAGAAGATAAATGGTAACATCCACACAAAAGGAGAAACTGATGAGCTGGAAGGTAAGACTAAAGGGCACTTCTAGGAAAAAGACGAAGAGAATAAGACACCAAAATATAATTTAAGAAGAGTGGAGGATCTAAGTAGATGGGTCAACATCCAAATAGAGGTTCCAGAAAAAGAAAAAAATTAAACTTGGGAGAAGGAATAGAATAATGGAAAAAAATTTCCCTATATCAGAAAAATTTCATTGAATGCCAACAGGACAGATGAGGAAAAGCTTATCCTAGACATATTATAGTAAATTTAAGGAAATTAGACAACAAAGGCGACACTCGACCCAGAGAAGAAGAACATATGACCAACAGCAAAAACCAGACTGACATAAGACTTCTCCCAATAACCAGACTGATTAAGGAGACAATGCAGTGACATTCTTAACATAATGAAGGAATGAACCTTGAATACAAAATTGTATATGCATTCAAATAATATTATAAAATTACTACTTTAATATTATAAAACTGTGGTGTTGGAGAAAACTCTTGAGAGTCCCTTGGTCTACAAGGAGATCCAAACAGTCCATCCTAAAGCAAAACAGTCCTGAACATTCATTGGAAGGACTGATGGTGAAGTGGAAACTCCAATACTTTCGGCCACCTGATGTGAAGAACTGACTCATTTGAAAAGACCCTGATGCTGGGAAAGATTGAAGGTGGGAGGAAAAGGGGACGACAGAGGATGAGATAGTTGGATAGCATCACTGACTCAATGGACATGAGTTTGGGTAAACTCTGGGAGTTGGTGATGGACAGGGAGGCCTGGCGTGCTGCAGTCCACGGGGTCGCAAAGAGTTGGACACGACTAAGCGACTGAACTGAACTGCTTT